AAAAAGTATCGAATTGAAATTGTTATTGTCACACCAAACATTTCATTTTGCATTCTAAACTTTCTATAATTAGAAAAAAAATACACTTGTGAAGAGTGTAGAATTACATTTTTAGAATGCTAATAACAATTCTCTTGATTATATTACATTTTGAAGAAAACTATTTTAATAACCGATGCAATAAATCGATTCTATAAAGTTCCTCCAAAAATTTCTTATCTATTATTATTAATCAAGAATTTCGTATCAATTCGATACTTTAGAAAAAATCATGTTAAACTCTAGAATATGGGAAGGGCACCAAATGAATTTGATAAATGATAGTCAATTATAAAATGACGAGCGAAATAGTAAATAGTGATACGAAAGTCGTAGTTGGACTGGTCAAAGAACGTCAAGGGAATAAATCGGGTCAAATGCCCAGGGAAGATACAAAAGATGAACCCAAAAACCAATGGACCCAAACAAACCAAAGTAGGTTGGTCGTCCCTCAAGTAAAAAATAAGGAGGTATACAAGGAAAAAATAGTATGGGAAGTCATTTCAATAAGAAAATTCCCCTAAATATATAACTAGCTATTCTAATTACAAAACTTAATCCTTAAATACAAAGAGAGAAAAATTGTTTATCCAATTAGGTCCCAACTGGCAACTGGCCAAACCAAATTATGGACAAGCAATTGACCACACAATGGGAGAGATGGAAAGAAAGGTGTCCACGTGTTTCAATCCACTAATGTTTTATCTGTTTGCATCATGCATGGATCAATAATAATGTGACAGCTCAACTATAAATCATGCTATATTATATACTCAACAGGATCTTCTTCGGATTATTTTGGTGAGAATCCTAGGGTTTCATAAATCGTATACATTTATCGTATATCGTGTGATTAGTTTTTGTCAGGTACTGTTTGTATTTAATTTTAAATAAAAATATTTAAAATAATTTTTTATCGTATAATGTACGATAAACAGATATGATTTATATATTTCTGGGATCCTTACAAAGAGGATATGCCAGGTATCCGGATTCCACTATATATAACACCAAGAAGAACAGAAAACAAAACACCCACTGAAATTTAAATCCACCGACTCTCAAAAGCTGTAATTAGAAAATTTATATGATCCACAAAAATATTGCAATGCATGCCTAATGCATCAGCCACCATCCGATCGTGCCACTTGTCCTTCACAGCCCCGTTCAGCCGTTGGATGAAATTGCGCCACCACTTCAGGGTCCTTGCCCTTCCACCAGAATTTGTCACACTCCGGCTGTTTGGTGCTAGTGACTGTGCCGTAACTTTTCATGTGACCAAATGAGCGTTCAGCCACCATCCTTGCGTACTCCACCATGCCGTCTATAAGCTCCGGTGGAGCGCGGGCCTTGCCGTCCCATATCCAGACACGCGTCATGCCACGTAGGATGGCCAAGTCCAATGCATGTTCGGCATGTTCCATGATTGAAGGCCTTATTGAAGGAAAAAATGGCCAACTTCTTTGTTGGGCAAGAAGTGGACAATCACTCCAATATCGGTGTACATGTGCTATATAAGTTATTCATCAATGTTAGAGGAAGGCGAGCTCATGCTAGAAATCCTCAAAACGACTTGGTTTACGTGCTTCTTGGGATGATGATCATGATGATCGTCGTTAGAGTAAAAAAGGTGTTCGACGAAATTGCTAGCGTCGAAGATAATGAGGCTTTGTCGTTGCAGATGTAGAGGAGGTCGAAGCGTCGGCAGGCGACAGAGTCTTCGGCATCGTTACGTTGCTTATGTTAAACCCTTTGGATGCTTCGTGGTTTGTATAGACTACGAGTGGTCCAACGAGAGAAAACGAATGAGGATACTGTTGGAAAATAGTTATTTATTTTATTATTTGAATTTGGGCTTAGCCCATTAATATTAGGGTTTCGTTTTCTTGCTTATTAGGTTTATGTTAGTTCTCTATATATATGATGCTTTGTAACTCGTAGAATATAAGTTATTCATAATGTAGTCTCTTAGGGTTTTGTAGCCGTTCCGCCGTTCTCAGTTAGTTTAATAATATTCCTATTATTTTGTTAGTCTTGTTCGTTGCGCACTCTGATATTCTATCAGAGCAGATTCAATCCTTGGTCTGATCCTGCCTCACCATCTGCTTGTCTTGTGTCGTCCCACCGCCTGTACTCCAACCCATAATCTGATCTGTTGCTGCAAGCCTGCACAGACCCTATTCTTGCTCGTCGTTTTTGCACCACTCTGCAAGCCTGGAAATCAGAACCTCCTCCGCACCCTTATACTCACGATCTCGACCCGCACCAGACTGTTGCCTGCAATCCACCACACCACTGCCGTACCTGCTGCCTTAGAACCACCCGCTTGTCGTTGTTTGTTCGCATCGCCACCGCACCAATGCTGGAGGTGTATGGCGTCAGTCCAGAAAGAAGAAAAAATGAAAAAAAGGAAAAGGGAAGTAAGAAAAAAGTGGAAAAGAAAATAAGAAGGAAAAAAAGGAAAAGAAATTAGTTTTGGTTGTTTGTTTAAGGCCCACACGGGCAAGAAGAAAAAAAACATAGTTAAGTTTGTTTTTGGGCCACACGAGTTGTTGGTTTGTTTGAGATTGTTTTGTGATTGTCATTCAAGTACTTAGAATTGTGACCACTCGAGTGATGCTATTTGTGTTTGTTTGTTCGTTGCTACAATAGAGATATGAAAATCTCGTCCTTTTAGTGACGAGTTCTTTCCATACTCTCAACACTAGCCAGTTTGAACTAGAACCAGTTTGCCAGCTATAATCAAGAATCAAGTCAAGAATCAAGAATCAAGAACCAGTTTGCCAGTCAAGTAAAGTCAAGTCAAGAATCAAGTCAAGTTTGCCAGTTCGCAAGTCAAGTCAAGTTAAGTCAAGTCAAGTCCAGTTAAGTTTGCATGTTAGCCAGTCCGCCTAACAGAGCCAGTCCGCATCTGCTTGTTTGCAAACCCATGTCGTATACCGCCATGAGTTTGACGGGGGGTGTTGGAAAATAGTTATTTATTTTATTGTTTGAATTTGGGCTTAGCCCATTAGTATTAGGGTTTCGTTTTCTTGCTTATTAGGGTTATGTTAGTTCTTTATATATATGGTGCTTTGTAGCTCGTAGAATATAAGTTATTCACAATGTAGTCTCTTAGGGTTTTGTAGCCGTTCCGGCATTCTCAGTTAGTTTAATAATATTTCTATAATTTTGTTAGTCTCGTTCGTTGCGCACTCTGATATTCAACTGATACCACTGTTCGGCGCATTAATAGCATGGTCGTTTTCTGAAATAGGGTTTACTGGTTTTCCATGGATGAGGGGTTGGAAGAGGGATTGTTGGTCCTCCATTGTAGAGAGAAAGTGTCAGAAAGGAAAGGAAAAAGGAAACAAAGTGATTGATGGATAAGAAACGAAAAACCAAGACAGAATAATGAGATGAAGCAAATATGAGTGGACATTGGTTTGTATATGTTTAGGGGTCCCTCCCATGTGCTCCACATACAATTATATTAAAAGTGGGCAAAGAAAAAAATTACGTATGTACCTAACCTATTTTTGTATCTGATGGAAAAGTAATGAAGGATATGAAGATTATTTGGTATTACGGATTTTTGTTTTTGATTCAAGCGATACTGAGTAAGGACAACGAGAATACAGGACCTCAGGTGCATGGATGAATAGTTTTTAGAAAATAGTAATAATCAATGCATTTGTTGATCTTTTGTTAATTTTGTGTTTAATTTTTTGATCAATATTGTGTTTGTTAATTTGTCAATATAATGATAGCACGATAGGAAGTACAAGATTTATGAGTCCATGACCACACCCCAAAATTTATGTTGCAAAATGAAAAATGGTTTGAGGAGTTTATTGGAGGTGGTTACTGGTGTAGACTCTAGATCAAAAGCCCAAGCCAGCAAAGGCCGTTAACTATACCATCTTCCAAGTCCCAATCAAAATTTCCATTCCCCTTTACAAATGGTCAAAGATTGTTTCAATATGTATATATGTTGCTGCTCTCAAACTAAACAAAAACCCTTATGGTTGCAGGCCTACAAGAATTCATGAGACGCTCTGGACCCGAGACCCGAGGTCCGCGGTGTGACAATCCATCACTTATGCTCTCTCTCTCTACCTAGGTCTCTCTCCTCGGTAAGAACCCACTGGCATATCTATTAGGCCATCTCCAACCGAAGGGTCCAGATGGCCAGAGGGCCGAAAATAGCCTTAAAACCGTCTCCAACCGAGGGCTAGGCCAGAGGGCTCTGGAATCTGGGAGGGCCCCACGGGATCGGAGAGGGCTTTTTTTTTAATGTTTTCTATTGCTGTCGGTTAAAACCGACAGCATTAAACAGGTTTTATTTTTTTTTAATAGTTCTACTATTAGTGTCGGTTATAACCGACACTAATAGTTTGAATGTTTTTTAATACAACGGCTACTAGCCGTTGTATTATTAGGCCTTTTTTTTTTTTCCCTTTTTTTTTCCTTTTCATATTAATCAAATTTTGTTTCATATTTTTTTTCAATTCTATTTTACAAAATTTGTTTCAATTTTTTTTAAATTCTATTTTTTTCCTATAACTTCTATTTTACAAAATTTGATTCATATTTTATTTCCTATAACTTCTATTTCACAAAATTTGTTTCATAATTTTTTTCAATTCTATTTTTTTCCTAGGCCATTTATATAACATTAAATTAAATTAAGTAACATGAAACAACATTAAACAATATGAAATAACATTAAATAACATTAACCAACATACAAATTATACAACATAAAAAAACATTTAACAACATGAAACTTAAACAACATTTTTAAAAACATTTAACAACATTTAATATCATGTTGACGTCACCTAGCCGTTAGATTTGAATTTAAATTGTAGTTTTTAAATAATAAATTATGTTTGGCCCTATGGCCCTTTGGTCCTCGGTTGGAGACGGTTTTTTGTGACAGGGCTAAAACGAGCCCTCTGGCCCTCTGGCCCTCGGTTGGAGACGGAGGCAAATATGGCCCTGTACTGTTCATTAAAATATTAATATCTTAGAGAATCTTGGAGGGCCAGAGGGCTAAAACGAGCCCTCTGGCCAGCCATCGGTTGGAAATGGCCTTACAAGATTCATCTCAACTTAAAAATAGGCCGTAAAAACACCATCAAACATGCCATAATGTACAAAATATTTTGCAGGCTGGGTGTGTTTGCATCTACTGTTGCTGCTGAGGTGGTAGGGCCTGACGGGACCGCACCAAACACAGTTGAGCCACTAGTATTTGTTGTGTTCAAGACTGATGAACTTGTGCTGCAGACGCAATGTGAATATACAAATATTAATTTTTATCTTTCTAAATGAAAAAGGTGGTACGAAAACATGAGAGAGTAAATTACCTAGTAGACGGATATTGACAAGACCCTGTACCTGAGAACATTGTTGCAAAACCAGAGATCATTTAGAAGGAAAGAAGAAAAACGTGACAAATCTTTTTAATTGAAAACAGGATCTCGGGTGAAGGATAGACGGTTTTAACAACTTGAGCTACAAGTCTCTTGCAGGATGACGTAGAGTTTACAAACGGTAGTATAAAATGGTGACTTACTTGGGTCAGTGCTAGTGATCATAGCAGTTCCACCAAAGTTGCAGCTATTTGGAACTGGTTTCTTCTGATAATAGTTATTGAATGCGTAAGAAGCATGATCCCGGACACTATTTGGGTTGTAACAGCTTCGTCCCGGCTGAATTTCTGAGCAATCAGTGCCACCATGGCCACAAGCATAGTCCAAAGCAACTTGCAATGCCATTTGTGATGCACCTTGGCTAGCAACACACCAACTTGAACCAGTGGATGCAGGTGATGATGGTGTTGTTGTTGTTGTAGGAAATGGGGTCATGCTAGGGGAGGATGTGACAGGGACAGTTGAATCAGCTGGATTTGAATTAGGGTTCACAATTGGTGTTGATGAAGTGGGATTTGTGGTAGTTATTGTAGGAACTGTTGTTATTGGAGTAGTGATGTCCCTTTGGGTGGTGGAAATTAGGGTTTCAGGGAATTTCAGCCCTTTATTTTCTTGGTCTTTTTCTTTGATGTGTCCAATGTTCTTTTCCTTTATTGTCACACTCAAACCTGTACTAGAAAAATCAAAACTAGAGTAAGCTTTACTTTTTTTGTATTCTGCACTTTATGAGCATTGAAAGAATGGTGCCAAATCTGAATTGGGTTGTGGTTCCAGGTTCCAAAATAAAATCAAAACCCTATAAACTAATAGTTTCACAAGCCATCACAACTAGTTGAACAATTTATCCTTAATTTGGAAATAGGAGTAAATAATAAAGTTTTCTGTTTGGACTTTAAAGAAGATAGTAAAAACTGAAAAGTTCAGTGACTTTACCGCAGTATAGGGTGTTACCCAACTGGGGTCTTACCAAGATTTGAAAGACTGCTGTTTTCAAAATGCATTCATGTGAATGCTCGAAGGAAATGAAGAAGCAAAAAGTTAACAAAATGGGAAAAGGATCCTCTCCGGATATCTTTCTTCTAATCCATCAAATTAGTGGATCCGTATCATTAAAATTTGATCCAACGGCTGAAGTTATATAACTTTTAGAGTGAACCTCTGTTTGTAGCTATTGGATTAAATTTCAATGACACTGATTCTCTGATTTGGTGGATTAGAAGGAAGGGATCCGGAGAGAATCGCTTTCCCAAAATGTTTATTTGAGTGAGATGACATCTTTTTCCACTGGGACAGGTTTGGAGCCTATTATTGGATTAGACAATTCACCGTATTCAAGGTATGTTGAAGAAAAAAATGAATAAATTTTGTCCAATTTAAAGATAGAAGGTGGATAACTCGTGAAAAAAAAAAAAACTTTTCCCTTACCATCCTCACAAAATAGTAGGATCAATAGAAATAAGTTTCCTTTTACCAAAAAAAGAAAAGAAATAAGTTTCCTTCATGTCCAATCTCTTATAATCCTCCCAAAATACAAAATTTAATCACAATGACCTTCGTACATACCTTAAATTACATGCGTTATCCTATCCAAGCACGGAATTGGATCCGCTCCGGACCTTAGTGTCAAGAACCTAGGGATCAATTCATCTGGGCTGTACAAATTCAATTAAACGGTCCCATTAACTCATTTTCCTGGCCCACCACATAAAAACCAATGGCTCTGATTTTTTTTACACACCAATCAACGGTCCAGATGATATGATCCCTAGGCTCTGAACACTAAGGTCCAGAGCGGATCCGATTCCTCCAAGCATCACAAGAAATTTAAAATAAATACAAAGTAAAAACTATAAGAGGAAAATTTAAATTGATCATTAAGCTTCATGAAAATTTGAAAATAGATAGTACTCTAACCCCGCTACTTTGACTGAGGAAACAAACAAAAGAAAAAGGAGAAAGCATCATGAAAAAAAACTATATCTAGATGGGTGAGAAATTAATGGAACTTTTTCATCCACAAAAAGAAAATGTCTAACTTAAAGAAAGAAATATAATAAACAGAACACAATTGATAAGCAGCATTATTTGTAAAGCATTAAATTATGAACAAAGAACAAGAGCCACATTTGAAATGACACAATTCTGACCTAGGACATTACATATATTCATAAAAAATTCTTATCTCTCAATCCAAACTCTGACCTAGAAAAAGAGATTCAAATGCAGACATGGATTATTAGTGAGCCGAAAGTTGATGGGGAAGAGGGGAAGAATATAAATTCACTTGTCAAAGGCAGAAAGAAACAAAGCAAAAAAAGAAAAAGAAGCAAATGGTATTATTACCAAATATATATTAATTAACAAAACAGAATGATAGATGCTGTCATAACAAATCATAAATAAGAAAAACTAAATATAAAATTGTAAAGGATGCAACTCAAAGTTCACAACAAGACAAAGGAAGTCACCTGAACAGAAGAAAATACCCAATAGGAGTAACAAGCAGGAGATTAGAGTTATAGGATAAATAAACCTTCCACCCATTTGGTGCCTTTGCTTACTTCTACTTCTTCTCTTTGATGACTTCTTCTTCTTCTTCTTCTGATCTAATCTAGTTCTACTATATTTGTTTGGTTTGAAAGAAAGAATCTTCTTCTTCTTCTCCTTGATGACTTCTTGTTCTTCTGCTTCTTGTGATCTAATCTAGTTCTACTTTGTTTGTTCGGTTTGAAAGAAAGAAGGAAAGAAAGAGGAGCAAATAATACTTAAACTAGAGAAGATCAATGATGTTGTTGAAAGAAGAGGTCTTTGAACCCTTTGTCTCAATTGTCATACCCTTAAAAAATATTTTCACACACACACATATATATAGTATAAGAGAGAGGTGTAGGTGTAGGGAGGTGGAAGCGGGGGAGGGAGGGAGGGAGGGGTGGAAAAGGAGGCAAAAGGTGGGGCAGAGAAGAAGGTTGAGGAAAAAGGAAAAGAGGGGGGAGGAATTATTTGGAATTTAGTTTTGGGTTTGTGGGCTGTTAAGTGATGATTGTAATGATGGTGGTGATGTGTGCATTTTGCCTTCCTCCTTTTTCTCTGCCTCTTCTTTTTGAAGTTTGACACCATTTTATCTGAGTAACCATGGACCAGGATCCTCTCCTGAGCAGATGGAGAGGATCCTCCTGACCAGGCTCATCGGGCCGTTCATTTTTTATCCAACGGTTACAAACAGGGAGTCCCTCTTAAAGTTATAATAATTATAACCGTTGGATAAAAAATGAACGGCCCGATGGGCCTGGTCAGGAGGATCCTCTCCATCTGCTCAGGAGAGGATCCTGATCCAGTAACCATCAACCAACCGACCAACATTGCAGCCTTGCAGGTGTGGTGTTGTAGAACATGTCTTCTAAGCATGATCTAAAATATCCATAATATTCTAATATTTTCATAAAAATTTCCATGTTTTTGGACTACCGATATTTTTTTAGACTACCGATATTTCCAATATCATCGATATTTTAGACCTTGCTAAGTCAATCATGTATCTTACCATGCAATGTATAAAGTGTAAAATATTGTACTAATTCATTATATATAAATGATTATGGTGTGTTTAAATTTCTTTCATTAATTACTACATATTTTCTACACTCACAATGTTTTCCAGCTCGCTATATAATCAACTTAAATCAGTTATATCTATCATGCAATGCATTTCCTTCCAAATTTTTGTGATAAACTAATAGATAATTGACTAAATAAACATTCTGCAAAGTTTCAATAAAAATTTTCAAATTTTTCTTACAATTTCCGTGGTTTTTATTCAATTTTTATCGATATCGATACTATCCCGATATTTCCATCGAAATTTCTGTGTTTTTGGACTACCGATACTTCTGATATCATCGATATTTTATACCTTACTTCTAAGTTAATATAACTTGTTCAGAGGGAGGGAATTGGATCCTCTCGTGAGCAGGAGATCAGGATCCTCCTGACCCAATAACATGGATCGTTAAATTTTGATACAACGGCTACAAACAGGTGTCCCTCTAAAAGTTATAATAATTGTAGCCGTTGGATCAAAATCCAACGGCTCGTGTTAGTGGATCAGGAGGATCCTGATCTACTGCTCATGAGAGGATCCAATTCCCAGAGGAAGACGGTAGTATTACAAATTCAGCTATGAAAATAAACCCTTGAAAAAAAAAAGGATTAACAAGAAAGTTGTACCTCAGGGTGGATAAGCATTTATTTTAGGGAATTTTAACGAAAAGCATCCGGTACTGTTCACTTTAACGAAAAACCATATTTTTACACTAAAAAGTCAATCATGGTACTATTCACTTTACTCTTTATTTTGTCCTTATCATTAAAACTCAAAGTTTCCAAACCTTTTTCATTAGTTTTCCTTTTATTTTATATATGAGATTGTATGCCCGATTCTTCCCTCAATATCGATCAAATTAAAAGATATAACTATCTAGTATGGATGTACCCAAATTACCAAAAGGGTCAATCATGTTTTTTTTTTTTTAATATTTTTTTTAAAGCTTTTTGGTTTGGGCTGCTACTGGAAAAAGTAAAACATCTAGAAGATAGCATAAAATTTCACACATATAATTTTACAGTTGATCGGACATAATATATTCTATTTATTTATATACTAAAACACACGATTAAAAAGTAGTAGGACTCATGCAAATACATCATCAAACTCACAAAAATAAAAACCTTTGTTCTTCTAAACAGTGTAGAGAAAATGTTACCTTAAATAATGATCCAACTAGCCTTTATTTGTCGTTTCAGTTACAAAATATATGTGTGTGTATTATGGATCTTTATGTGGGGCACCATGTATGAACAAAGTGAGCTGAATTGGTGAAATAAGTCCTTAAAGTGGACGGTCTAAAATCCTATCCTATGGCTTGCACTTTTGACCAATTGGATTCGAAATATACCTATGTGGATTAATTTATTAATCCAAATTTTTAGCTTTATGCTTTGGTTCCAAATAAAGGCCGTTCTTGATTGTTACTACCATAATCCCCATTTGTGCATGGGTGGTGGGAATGTCTTTGATTGAGACTATTATGTATAAAATTACTGGAGGCTAAGATCTTATTAGTCTTTAATCATGCTATAAGCAGCCTATGATAAGTATGTTTATCGACAAATCTTGTATTTGTGTGCCTAAATCTTTGACAATGATCCTAATACCTTGCACAAAGGTCAAGCTTTACCGTAGTGCAGGTCATGTTAAGCAAAAGCAACACTTGCAAGGGACGTTTTCTGTTTACTTTGCCATAAGCAAACTAGAAAGAAACCATCGTGGGTGGCATATGAGTTTAGTAAGAGAGTAATGATGTTTTTAGACTTAAAAATCTAAATATATGTTTATGTTGTTACACCGTAAATTTAGATTAGATATTTTGTCAAAAATAACTTAAGTCAAATTTTAGAGACAGTCTAATGACCCATTACTAATCAACATTAATGTTACTCTCAATTTAATCACGTGTCCTCCAATACGTGTGGGTTTTTTTTTTAATTTTTTTTTATCAAAAGGCTACAATAAAGTTAGTAGTGAAATCATTCAGTATAAAATAAATTTATCTTCATAAGGTTTCTAATGTGAGACTAAATTTAACTTCATAAGATTTTCGATGGGAGACATTGCTTCAACAAATCAACGGTTTGAATTCACGACTATGACAATATAAGCATTATATTCGCCCAAGAGGATTGGGTACAACTCAAAAACAGAAAACAAGAGCCACAAGAAATATGACACCATGCTGTTGCTCTTTCACTACTTCTGCCTCCATATCCAAATTCATCTCAGAAAATCCACACCTCTCCATGCTAGAAAACCAATGCACCTCCATGAAAGACCTCCAAAAAATCCACGCCCACCTCCTCAAAACTGGCCTAACCAAGGACACGGTCGTCGCCAGCCGGCTTCTGGCCTTCTCTGCCTCCCGAGCCGGAGACATCAACTATGCCTACATGGTTTTCAGACGCATAAAAAAGCCAAACCCCTTCATTTGGAACACCATCATTAGAGGCTTCTCCGAAAGCCAAAACCCGAAAACCGCAGTCTCTCTTTTCATTGAAATGCTGGTAGCTTCAGAAATTGAGCCACAGAGATTGACTTACCCTTCAGTTTTCAAGGCTTATTCTCAAGTTGGCCTTGCCAAAGACGGAGCCCAGCTTCATGGAAGAGTTATAAAGTTGGGTCTCGAAAGTGATGAATTCACGCGAAACGCGATTATACACATGTATGCAAATTGTGGGTTTCTGAGTGACGCAAGAAAACTGTTTGATGAGGACTTGGAATGTGACAATGTTGCATGGAATTCTATGATCATGGGCCTTTTCAAATGTGGTGAAGTGAGTGAATCCAAGAGGCTGTTTGATAAGATGCCTTCGAGGGATTCAGTTTCTTGGAATTCGATGACTAGCGGATTTGTTAGGAATGGGAAGTATGCAGAGGCATTGGAGTTTTTTGGTGAAATGCAGAAGGAGAGGATTAGGCCTAGTGAGTTTACAATGGTGAGCTTGTTGAATGCTTCTGCTCAGTTGGGAGCAATTGGACAAGGGGAGTGGATTCATGAATACATAAAGAAAAATGGGATTGAAATGAATGGAATTGTTGTCACGGCGATTACAAACATGTACTGCAAATGCGGAAGCATCGAAAAGGCTCTTCGTGTTTTTGAGGCTGCCCCGAATAAAGGGTTGTCCTGTTGGAACACCATGATCATGGGCCTGGCCGTTAACGGTTGCGAGGAGGAAGCAATTGAGCTGTTCTCGAGGCTTGAAACTTCAAATTTTATACCGGATGGTGTCAGTTTTCTTGGGGTCCTAACAGCGTGTAATCATTCGGGGAAGGTGGAGAAAGCAAGGGATTATCTCTCGAAAATGACACGAAGTTATAAGATTGAACCTTCGATAAAGCACTATAGTTGCATGGTTAATGTGTTAGGCAGGGCAGGACTTCTTGAAGAAGCAGAAGAGCTTATAGATAACATGCCGGTAAAAGCAGATGCCATTATTTGGGGATCATTGCTCTCATCTTGTAGGAAGCACAGTAACATTGAGACGGCAAAACGAGCAGCAAAGCGTGTGATCGAATTGGACCCAAACGACAGCTGCGGTTATGTTCTTATGTCAAATGTCTATGCTGCCTCTAGTCGGTTTCAGGAAGCGATGAAGGAGAGGCTATCGATGAAGGAACAGAAGATAGAGAAAGAACCGGGGTGTAGTTTGATCGAAGTGGACGGAGAGGTTCATGAGTTTATAGCCGGTGGAAGGCTACATCACAAAGCCCCAGAGATCTATTCTCTGTTGGATGAGTTGGGGTTTATGATTCCCGAAATGGGGTAGGTTACGATGCTTTAGCATCAAACTATCATTTGCAGAAGATTGTGCGTTTTTCAGAAACCGAATTTGTGCACAAAGTAAAGGCATAGAACAGAAGTGAAGTAGATCAACTGTATTTTATATAGCTGCTCTTGCAGTGGTTACATGATTTATATATTCAATGTAGGTCACATGAAAGCAAGCAGTAATAAAGGAATTCGAAACTCTTTCGATATAGCTTAATGCTACTGGAGAGATGACGTATCTCCAGAATATTAATCACCACTTACTGATACAGACATTGATTTCTTGCAACTCAAGTTTTTGACATAGTTCGGCCGGATCCCCAGGAGTACACCTCAGGAGGGACATTACCATTAGTGATCAGGTTCTGAGGAAGTCCATATAAATCCGAGATGTCCACGTGGTGGTGGCGGCCGTTTTGGTGGTGCTGATTTTGCAAAGCCGCAGCAACTTCCTCTTCATCCTGTGGCAGGCGATCAAAAGTGGCGTTCATGAACGAAGCAGCCATGATCACCACAGGGCCCGAAGCAATGAGCGCACCGACCACACCCCCTCCCATAACCTGCCCCTGAGCCCCTGCAAGATATATGGTTAGACCTGTGATCCCTGGAGGGGCTGGCGGGGGTAGGATTGACCCGAGCAATGAGAGGATTTCAAACCGGCCATGGAGGGTCACGATAGCGCCAGATGAAGCTGGTTGTCGCAGTGTGACATTGGTCACACAGCCACTTCCACTCAATATGCAAATGCCCCTCTGCTTCCTCCTTGCAAAGTTGGTTAAACTCTCACTCACATCACAGCCAGAACTTACCTCCATTGCATGAGCACGAAGCGCATTAGCGCTGTCGCGGGTGACTATGATGGGCGGCTTCGGCTTGTTCTTCGAACCTGCTGGCCTCCCACGCGGCCGGCGAAGAGTCTCCCCCGCAGGAACCGGTGTCACTTCCTTAGGCAACTTGGGTGCCATAGGCATTGCATCAATCCCAGGCCTGTGGTGACTGTTGCTTTTATCGGCATCTTGTCTCCGATCAATTACAGTTTTCGACACAACGGAAGGAGCCGCCAGATCTGCACCTCCTGCCATTAGCGAACCCGTTCAAGCACGCAGTCTTTGCAGTCACAAGAGATTCACCAGAAGATGTGTTCAGAACGTGTGAATAAATAGCAACATTTCTACCAATAGTTTTATGAAGCAAACCAAAAAGAATGATCCAGAATTAGGAGAAGATTAAGTGACACCATGCACAAAATTAATCACTAATTATATCACAACGGTAATATCACTCTCACTGCCTACCTCCCAACTGACTTTTCCAACACTTACATGTATTATATTTAAGCACAAATCTACCAACTCAATCTTTTCATAAGATATCCACCGGAGAAACAGGTAAAGCGAGAATTCCGTCGAGCTTTTAAGCCTTCTTCAGTAGTAGAAACAAAAATTGCAAGTTATCGCATTGAACGTAGAATTCATGCCCCAACACAGTTTCGTAAGATGCATCGTCGAGGCACAAGGCAAAAAACGATAACTTCCCCGTTTAGAGTATGTACAATTGGACAGCCAGACAGAACCCCCGTAGATTCTGAACTAAAGTGACACCCTAATTTGGCAACTCCAAACTCACTACAAGCCCCATTGCAGAAAACAAAAAATGAAAGAAAAATGAGAGAGGGAAAACTTTCTACTAGTAGGTCCCCTGCCAAATCTGGTGCAACTGCTGAGGTGACAGGTCTTGGAAACCTCCTAAGCCTAAATCATTGAGGCGTTGCCGCTGAAGTTCTTGTGTTACGTCCACTTGGGAATGATAGAAATCCGGGTGTCCTCGATAACTCTGCAACTGGGACGGCAGCTGTCCAGCCTGCCCTTGTCGATATCCTGCATGCTGTTGATTCTGCCCAAGTAAGTTGTTAAATGCACTGTCTGGAACGGAAGGCAATGTTCTTGAACTCTGGAATCCACGGAAAACAGAAACTTTATAGTGGAGAAATGAAAATCATAGACACGGCGGCCAATCATCAGAAATCAGTATCCGAAACAGTGAATATCAAATCAGAAGTCATGCTGAACTACTGCTCTGAAGCACATTACAAGTAATAAGATGCACAAACACAAATTGCGCCTACCTACTTCTATGTTTAAATCTCTACCTGATAAAGAGCGGTTAAATGGTTTCCATCCTTGTACTGAGGGCGGAAAACATCATCATAGTCAGCTATGCTGCCGGGAGTAGCAGATGCATTATGCAAGAAACTCCCGTGATTGTTATTAGAGGCCCCAAAACTTCCACGACCAGCAGCAGCAGCAGACGTAGGCAATCTGCTTACTGAGGCTCCACTTCTATACTGAGGGAAGTTGTATTCCATGCTAGCCCCTGACTGATGGAATGCACTACCACCTAGATATTCTTGCTGCAAATTTGATGGCATAGGCGAGTAGTTCTGAGCCTGAGGCATGGAAGGGTACCCAATAATGTTTGCTAACTGTTCGTAAGAATGGGTAGGTTGAGCATATGAACGGGCTGCATGGCGCTGAGGAAGTACAGAAGACACCTCAGATAACGGTACAGCGCCTGGTCTCAGAGCCTGTATGGTTTAATGCCACGGATATCGGCAAACACTGCCTTATTTCATTTATTCCATAATAATAATAATAATTTGCATGTGGGCATCAAATTCAAGAGGGGTTTAATGCACTGAACGATGTGGGGTCACCCATCACTTACCTCGGACATGGAACTAGTTGGGTTCTTTACGGATGAAACTACACTGTTGTATCTTGAAGGCACAGATGGCTTCACCAAAAACTGTTGGAATGACTCCAATAGATCACTTCGTATAGAATCTGAATATGCCTGCGGAATTTTTTTTCCAAAGGGGGAGAGAGAGAGAGAACAACAAGAATACAAGGAAATCAGGCCACATACATAATCACAATGTTCAAAACCCTGAAAGAAAATAAAAATTAGACAAGACTGGCAACACCAATGAAGACGGCAAAAGAGATATCGGATAATAGATGATGATGGATAGAGAACAAATCTATCAGGGATTAGCTATAACACCAGAAATGCTCTTTCTTGAAAACATACTCAGATTCAACTAGAAATTCCATCAAAGGAGTAGGCAAATCAGCAGAGCAGTTACAAGTAGGGATTGCTACACCAACAGACAGTAGATGTGCATATTTTCCAACATGATTTTTCTTAATGTGTACAGTGTAACACATGAAAATGCTCAGAAAACCACGGTACCATGAAAAGTGTAATAAATTTGTTAAGCCAACTCCATGAACAGAAAATCATTAATGTTGTATACAGATCAACATTCCATAGCATAGAAACAAGTCTTGGTTAAAAACTAAACCAATTAGAATCATCAACATTTGGCAATATTGTATACAAGTAACTACTCATAAAATTCAGTCAAAAAATGAACACTTTCCATGATTCAGCAGCAAACAAATCCTCCTTATAAGTTGGGCATAAAAGAATGCAGAAAGTTAAGAAATATAACTCTTACCATATTGTTTTGAAGAGGAATATTTCTGAATTCAGGATCTGCCTTTGCAAAGGGCAATCCAGAAGTTGCTCTTTCAATGTTCTCAGAATTAAAATTACGTAGTGATGAGGTAGAGCTGTCTCTATGTCCATGGGTTGCTTCAAGGATATCCTGTTTTATCAGATCTGGCTGTGAAGGTACTGGAAAATCATAATTTTTAGCACCTATGCTTGCTCTCCCAGTATTATACATGTATCCAAGAAGTTCGTCATGATTGTACCCTGAATTTCTGAACAGGAAAAAAAATTCAAAAATTTAAGAGACATTACAACTATATGATAGATTTGAACTAAGTGAAAAACTCATACCTTGTATCCAAGCGCCCAGCTGAGAAAACATCAACTCCTGCTTCTCCTGCAGAAGATCCTCCCAAGTCATTTTTCACGGAATTAGATGGCTTGCTGGATAATGCAGAACCTTGAGACGGTCTAAAGGTGCCAAAACTCAAATGCGAACAATCGGCAGCCAATTCTTGCAAATTATTTGGAAGGACTACTGCACAATTATCTTGATCTTCCTCCTTTCTTAAATTCAGTTGTTGCATTCTCATAGTAGCTGATGCCACAGAAACATCATTAGAGGCAGAATGATTTGGATATGGTGCATTTGAATCAATAACAGTTCCTGGAAATACACAAAAGTAATGAACAAGAAAGACAATAAGAAAGGGTAGCATAAACTTCTTACCGGATGGCGACAATAATAAGATTTCAGAATCAAAACTACTTTCTTTCAAACAGTTAGCCATATGATATGGAGGTAAAGCAACCTTTCACCGCCAGAACAATCACAAACCCTTCATCAAAGACATTTCAGTTTCATAAACAAAATCCAAACCTAAGCACCATTGTTTTCAGTTTCAAAATACCACATTTTAGGTTGAGGACTAGGGGGGAAGATAACATCAACAACTCCACAAATCTAGTCCGAACAGAGTTTAGATGCATAAAAAAAGTATCAGGACTTCAAAATGAAACAAAATATTTTGCAAAAAAAGAGTCAATTGGCTACTCAAGCACATTTAGACTATTCTCAAGCAACTTCCTCTATTATTACCAATTTTAGTGAAGGTTAAAGGACAAAGTGCTAGGAGCAATTTTTACCATGCAAAAAAAAAAAAAAGTATTAGTATGTCAACAAATAAAAGTAACAGATAAACTTGAGCTTATACCAGTCACAAAACTTTCATAACATAGAAAAGAACTAAACGTGAAATTCTAAAAGCAGCCAAAGAAGGTTAAACTGACAAAAATGAGACACAGAAATGTAGAGACGTGTTTCATTCAGCTGAAGACGATAGATCTAACAATTCAAACAACCATGGATGTAACCAACACAATAACAACCATAATGTTTTTATATGTTATCCATTACAATACAATGATCTGGATTGATATAGATTCTAGCATCATGAATGTCATTAGCAATGATCTCTTATATCGTATGTGTAATTGAGTAAACGATCATCC